TAACATTAAATTCATAAAGACCATATTTAGTAATGAATGCAGTCTTTTCTTTATCCTCTTCTTTGACTTCTACTTGCCAATATCCAGAAGTCAAGTCTAAAAATGTAAACTATTAAGCATTATCAAGGTTATCCAACATGTCATCAATCCTTGGTAGAGGGTAGGTATTCTTCTTTGTTATATTGTTTAATTTTCTAAAATTTACACAAAATCTAAGCTTGGCATTTTTTTTTTTTAACCAAACTGACAAGAAAGCTCCAAGGGCTTTTAGATTTTTGAATGTTGCTATCTTTTTCTATTTTAGCAATTTCTTTTTCAATATGTTTTTGTTCGACTAGTGTGACTCTATAGGCTCTTTATTTAATTGGATAAGATTCACCAGTATTGATAATATGGTGTACAACATTAGTTTTCTTTAGTTCCACAAATTCAGTTGCAAAAATGTCAGTATTGTTATGTAATAGTTGGGTTATAATTTGTTTCTGGTTATATCTACAGATATCTCTACATTCTCATGGCTAATAATCTTTGTAAAGAGAAAATATATTAGTGTTCTACTAGCTAATACAAAAGGGACAGTAGATGAAACACCCCTTATTGATCTACTGAATAAGCCCTATAGTATCTGGAAGGCTATTGAATTTAAATTCTGCTACTTTATTTTATTTTCTTGGTTTTCTTTTTCTATATATCATTATTTTTTGCTTTTCTTTTCTTTATTCCTTTTAAACTTCTTTTATAAAACCTTTTTCACAAAAATATTTTGATTTTGCTTGGCAATTTTTAAACCATATTTTAACTAGTGAGAAATATAATAGTTTAGTTGAAAAACTTGAAGTAGCTATTGATTTACTTCAATTTGAATCTCCTCTTACCTCTGAACAAACTCATATCCTATTTGAATATTTTAAATTCTCTAAATTTTCTTGGGGCAATAGCAAATCTAAACCATTATCTGAGGAACTTTGGGACAACAGATAATTTGTCGACTCTGACTTTAATACACCTGCTCAACCTTTTTTTTATTATTTAGAATTCCCTAATTCTGACAATCCACAAGGAATTACTTATACTTTGCCACCTAAGAGAAACTCTGTCTTATTGCATCACTTTTATACTGCAACCGAGTATGCAGAACTAAAATTATTTGAAACAGAAATAGATAATAATACCTTTTTTTGTGATGGTATTCATCAATTATTCAAATATCGACAACAATATAGTTTTTTTTTCATCTTGATTAATTCTTTATAAATATTGCTCAATATCAAAATCGAATTCAGGAACATAAATTTTTATATAATACTAATCAAATCATTACTAAAGCAAGATACAATAATAAACCTGATCCTAGCTGTCCTGAGTGTAATCTACCTAATTTTAGCTTACAAAATTCTAAACAATTTGTATGATTTTGGGGTTGGTATAGTCATAAATACCAAGCTACTTATATCACTTGTATAACTATTAATATTTTTGAGGAAGCATATTAAACTATAGAAGATATTTGATTCTTTAACTCTATTCTTCACCTTTTAATAACTACTATTCATTATAATAACAATTAACCACCTAAAGAGTTTGAACAAATAGCACTCAAACTAAAGGATAAGTGGCTAGAGACAGAGCAATTCAACTGTATACCTGAAAACTCTGAGGATTCTGACCAAAAAACTGATACTGAGTTTAGATTAGACATTGTATATTCTGATTCTAATCTCTCTAATCTCTTAGCAAATACTCTAAGTAGAAAAATTGAAAAGACTAGTAACCAAATTCAACAAGGAATAAATCGAGATCAAAGTCTTATTACATAGTTGAAAAGTAATTTAGAATCAACCAAAGAGGCAGCATAATCAACATCACATTTTTTTCTTTCAAATAATCAAAACAATAATACAGAACTTACCTTTGAACAAGCATATTATCAAACAGTTAATCAATCTTCAAATATGTCTCAAAAAGCCAAATTAGAATTAGGATGTGATAATAATAATAGTAATCGAATTACTCATGAAGTCAACAATAATAATACGAATAATAATAATTGAGAAGAGAAGCTACAAACCAATTTATATCTTCTATATACTTCTAATAGACTAGCTGAAGAGCACAGAGAGCCAATAAATCAAGATAGATGATAACAACAACAATAGCAGCAGTATGAAGAAGAAGATAAACCAGAGTCTCCTGAATTTGATGCACAAATAGCTATTCAAGAGATTTTAAAAGGCTTGAATAAAGTAATAGAAAAAAATAATACTCAAGCTACCACAGTAGCAACTACTAACCAAAAGGAGTATAAAATAATAGATTTTCCTATCTTTTCAGGAAATAGTAATGAAGATCTAGTTGAATAGCTAGAAGCCTTCACAAGAGCATGTGTTGGCAATAACATAGGTGAAAATAGACGATTTGCAATTGTTTCTACTTTTCTTAGAGGAAATGCATTATCCTGGTATAATCAAAATAAAACAAACTTTATATACTGGAAAAATGACCTCCAAGCTACCCAATCTTTTATCTATTTTTTTGAACAAAAATTCTGAAATCCATTTAAAGTATCCTAATAGCATTATACTCTCTGAAGCCAAAAACAAAAACTTGGTAAAACTGTAGACACATACAACTCTGCTCTTGATTAGTTATGGCATAGAGTAAATCCAAATGGTAATTACCCTGAAGTTGACAAAATTAAACAATTTATCAATGGTCTACATCAGGAATTTCAAATTCTAGTACAATCTAAAAGTCCAACTACTCTGAATCAAGCTATAAATAAAGCAAGAGCTATTGAAGTGGCATACTCTAAAGGAAGTGCTTTTTCTGCCTATTCTCTTTTTCCAACCTCCTTTCAACCACAATTCTTTGGAGAATATACCACTTCAGCTCATATAGCAGCATTTACCCAACCACAAAATAGTCTTCAAAATGACCTTATAGAAGCTGCATAGTATGTTGCTAGGTCTATGCAACAAAACCAATCAAAATCCCAACCATCTCAAAACCAAAATCAAAATAATTATAATAACAATAATAATTATAATAACAATTGTAACAACAATAATAACAACTGGAACAATAACAATAATCGAAATAATAATAATCATAATAACTACAATAATAACTATAATAATTGAAACAATAATAATAACAATAATTATCAAAATAATAATAACAACAACAATAACAACAACAATAATCCTCCTTCTAACAACAACAACAACAATAATAACAATAATAGCAATAACAACAATAACAATAATGACAATAACCAATGCTAATATTTAAACTAGAAGAGGTATCTCTCAAGAATAAGCATACCCAGAATCAAAATCTCTTATTCAATAAAGAGGAAACATTATATACATTTTTGTTGGATGAGATAGATAAGTTGTTAGATAAAGAGGATGATAATGACAATAACTTAAAAAAACAATTTCATAATTTCTAGACAGATTATAAAGAAACTATAGAAATACTTGGGTTGAACTCAAGTGAAATTAATTATAATATAGATAATAATAATACCTCAACTAATCAAGTTAAAGATGCATTATTTATAACTGCTAAAGTTTTAGGAGTAACTATTAATGTTCTAGTAGATACTGGTTCAAAAAGATGTGTAGTCGCTAAACACTTCCTTGATAAAGTTAATCAGACAATTGATAAGCCTAGTAATATTAAAGTTGTTGATATTACAGGAAACAAAACAACTCCATTAGAACAAGTTAAAAATGTATCTGTTCTTTTGGGTACCAAATTAACTTATATTGATATGATAGTAACCGAGTCTAAGGAATATAATATAGTACTTGGCAATAAATATTTGGATAAAGTTCAAGCTACTATCGACTATTATGGTGAATATATGAGTATTGGAATAACAGATCAAATAGAGTATATTCCAATATCTTGTAAACAATGAATAGAAGATCCTAATACTGTATATCTGATTAATTTCAAAGATTATCACTCTAATCAGAAATTAGAGTTAGAATTAGAATATAATAATGAGCTCACTGCACCAACCTATACAACTATTCAAGTTAGAAACACCTTTGCCTAATTTAAGAAACAATTAATAGCAAATATGAAAATAAAAAATGCTAATAACTCTTTAAATCCCTCTCTACCAAATATTTTTAAGTTAGTACAACCAAAAATTATTGAAATTAAAGATAAAAAGAAAGAGGATCAAAAAGTATCTATACCGATTAGTGAAAACAAATCAACTTTTATTAGACATATCTTGGACAATAACCAAAAACAAATTATAACCCAACTACTATATAACAATGCTGACATTTTTGCAACTAAATTTGCAGAACTAAAGAAAACTAATATTATATACCACACTATCAATACTGGTGAATCTTATCCAATTAAACAAAGAGCTTATAGAGTTTCACTAGTCAAACAAAAGCATATTGGAAAAGAAATTGCTAAAATGGAAAAAAATAGTATTATTCGAAAATTCAAAAGCCCTTGAAGCTCTTCTGTTGTTTTGGTTAAAAAGAAAAATAGCAAGCTTAGATTTTGTGTAGATTTTAGAAAATTAAATAATGTAACAAAGAAGAACACCTACCCTCTACTAAGAATTGATGACATGTTGGATAACTTTGGTAATGCTCAATGGTTTATGTCTTTAGACTTGACTTTTGAATATTGGCAAGTAGAAGTCAAGGAAGAGGACAAAGAAAAGATTGCATTCATTACTAAATATGGTCTTTACGAATTTAATATCATGCCTTTTGAATTATGTAATGCTCCATCTACATTTCAAAGGCTTATGGATATAGTGTTAAGACCTGTTCTATAGAAAAAGGCTATAATATATATTGATGATGTTAATATATACTCTACATCATTTGAGCAATATATACTAGATATACAAGAGGTGTTTAAATTAATTCAACAAGCCAATCTTCGAATTAACCCAGAAAAATATCACTTCTGTACAAATAAAATACAATTTCTTGAACATGTAGTTGGTGTCGATGGAATCAAACCAGACTCTTAAAAGGTTAATAAATTAAACAATCTTCTCTCTCCTAAATCTATTACTCAACTTCAAGTCTTTTTAAACTTAGCATCTTACTATAGATGGTTTATAGAAGAATTTTCTACAAAAGCCAGATCTTTGTTAAAACTATTGAAAAAGGATGAACCTTTTATTTGGAAAAAACTTCAAGATGAGATTTTTAATTAGTTAAAATATTGTTTAACACATACATCTATATTACAATATCCCGATTACAATAAATCTTTTATTCTTTTCACCAATGCTTCTTACCAAGGACTGGGTGCCGTTCTATCTCAAATTAAAAATAGTCAAGAGCATGCAACTACTTATGCCAACTGTACTTTAACTCTTGCAGAAACTAACTATAGCACTGTTGAACTTAATGTTTAGCAGCTGTTTGGACTGTAAAATACTTCAGACACTATATTTTTGGAATGAGATTTACTTTAATTACTGATCACAAGGCACTACAATGGTTATTAAATTCCTATACTATTAATAATAACAAATGGATAACTCAATGGAGAATGACCCTCCAAGAATATTAGTTTGATATTAAATATCAAGCTAGTAGCCGGAACAAAAATGCTGATTTTCTATTTTGCCTACCTGAATATTTAAAAGATAATGGATAACAAATTATATAATTAGCTATATCAATACCTCTTCTCGCTACAATTTGACTTGGACATCTCTAAAGTGAACAAATCTTGAATCCAAAAAGAAACAAAACATTATTTCATATAAAACAACAAATTATATAGAAGAAATCAAAACAAGCATCAACGAGTAATCAAATCGAACCAGAAACACCTTATTTTATACACTTTATATAATGTACATTTAGGAATATCATCTACCTACAACAAAATAAAAAAAAGATATTATTGGCCTACTATGTACAATGATATCAAAAATTATATACAAATGTGTAATATTTGCCAATATAGAGGACATAAAATTCAATGACAAGATTTAACTTCTTGGGTTTGGGTCAAAATCCTGACAAACAGAATCACAACAGGTCATAATCCTGACAAAAAAATCCTGACAACTAAAAATCCTGACAATTAAAATCCTGACAATTAAATGTATAATTATCTAATATATAATTATAAACTAGAGAGTATGCGGTTATATAATAAACATGTAATTAGCATAATTATCAATTTTTATTAATGATAAATTAAAGTTTGAACAATAGTTCCTCGCACAATTTGAAATTATCACTTCGCACACAGTGGATGTGTTATAATCTGGACACTCTATCATGAACTTAGATAAATTGTTTTCCTTTATATGCTTTATATGAATAGTTCTTAGTATAAGGTACAAATTTATAATCTAGAGCTAAGTATAGTCTTATTTGATTTTTTTCTTTTTTGCTAATTTTTTTTTGATTTATTCTACCAGATTAAAGCTTTAATAAAGGATTAAGGGGCTTTTAGTAAGAGCGCAGAGGTAAGTATAGATTCTTGTTTTTGATCTTGTTTTTTTTTTTCTTTTTGTTATTATTAACTTCATTTTTTTCTTTATTCTTTTGGTCTCTTCTTGTTTAAGTTCTATTATGTTCAATTGAAGCTTTCTAATAGTTTTTAGTAAAGAGCACAAGACTATGATTCATAGCTAAATATAGCTTCTAATTTCGTTTATATTTTTCTTTTCTTGTTGTTATTACTAACTTTATTTTCTTTTTTTATTTAATCTTTTCTTTTTCAGATTCCACTTTACCAGATCTTTAACTGTGATTCATAGCTAAGTATAAATTCTTTGGTTCTTGTTTTTCTTTAGAATCAATCAAAATTAGATTTCTTTTGAGCCGCTTTCTATTTTGGCTAGATTAATCTATAGTTTTTAAAGAAATGTATTGTTTTTTTTTTTATTAATATCTAATAATCTAATTTTTTATTTAGAATGATATTTTAAAGATGATGAGAAAATTAATTTAGGGCTTTCAATAATAGAAGCTTGAATTGGTTAAATTCAGTATAGAATAAGGTCAATTGTTTTTCTAAGTTTTCAGGTTTTTTTTTATTTATTCTGGTTTACACTTTATTGATATACTTTATTTTTGTAGGGCATAGCATGAATGAGTATATAGAACATAGGTATAGTGGATAATAAATACTGAACATTTATTACAGACCATTACTTTTGCCCTTTTGAACTTGGATTTTTAAAACCAAACAAGTTATTTTATTTCAAGAGGTAAGAACTTCAATTTTAATATTATATTTTAAGGTGAAAATAAAAATCTTTAATTTTATTGATAATAAAAATTAAATTTAAAATTTAATATTTTTAAAAAATTCTAGATACGTATAATTATAAAGAAAGATTGTGTGCTATTCCATGGAGAAACTCTATTAATGAACAATTTTTCTAATTATTAATTATAATATCAAACCTTTGTTCTCTTTCAATAGTACCTTTTTTAGGTGTTTGATGTTGTGCACCACGTATAATAGCTTCTACTTGATGCTCAACTTTTTGTTGTTCCTTTTGAAATTCCTCAATAATAGTATAAACACCCATGTGTGGTCAACCAACTAAATTTTCCCATCATCGGTGCCATGCTTTGACAATATTCTGTATTCGAGAAATACTTGCTTCCATAGAGTTTTGCATAGACCACATTTGTAGTAGAAAAAGAAGTAGTAAATGGCTAATATTACCATTATGCATTTGTCATATTTGTTTCCTGTGAATGTAATTTTTCTCAAACTATTTTACTACCTCCTTGGTTTTCGTGGGCATTTCCTCCTTTAAGATATCAAATGCTGCAGGAATTTTATTTGATAGTAAGAATGCTAATGCAAACAACTGATGCAGTTTTATACTAAAATCCTTGTCAAGACCATAATGAGTTGATAGTTTGTTTTCTTGAATTTTTTTCTAGCCACTTTATCCTAAGTGAAAGAAGCAACACTTATTGTTAACATTAGGAAATTCAATATGTGATGCGTTTATTGCGACAAGTTCAAAGTCTATAAAAATTGCTGTGGGGCTTAATAAAATATTATTTTCTTCTGCAAATTCAATCAAATCTTGAAATAGTGCTCTATATAAAAATTCTGATTTTTTTGTTATTAATGCATATATTAAAGGAAGAACTCTTGAATTATCTCCTGTACCGACAAGTGCATGGATTGTGTACAATTGACGAAAAATAGTTGGAGCAGTCTTAAAGGTACTATCCATTATCCAGTATAAGAAATTAGATAAGTGTTGTATATTAGCCTTTGTGGTGAACAAGAGAATTCGCTTTTCTTCAATTATAGAATCTTTTACTAAAAAATTTTCCCCACTTAATGTCGAACAAAATGAATTAAGAATATTAATATCATCAAGTTTTTGGGGTTGTAGAGGCATGTTTGCTCTTCTAATATGTTTAATTCGGACGTACAAAGTATTTTGTGATAGAACATAGAGATAAATTTCCCTTGAAATGCTAATAATCACATTTTGAATTATTTGAGCTGGCTGGTTTCTGGTTCCTTGAGCTTGATCTCTTATATAAGCAATACTTCTTGCAACTTTGGTGCTGCTAGCTTGTGAGGCATGATTATGATCATTAAATTTTCAAAGGTGATGTAAATTATTAATAAGTACTGTTGTAGTATGACCTTTGCATTTGTTTGATTTTCTTTTTTCACAGCACTAATAAAACTTATCCTCCCGACTCCATTCCTTCACCATCAAATAACCACAGACATTAATCTTATCCGTTCCTTTTTGGAAAGGTACAATTTTACAAATTTCTTCCATTTTCTTAGTTATAATAAAATAAAGATTCTAATTTTATAATTACTAAATTGGATACCGAAAAATAAGATATAAGGCCGATAAAAGAATTTATAGCGTTGATATATATTTATCTAATATGGTACTAAAATAACTATCTATTAGGTTTTGCTTCTATCAAAAATATTTAATAGTATTATAATATAAGATAAGGCAATTTTTAAAGACATGATGTGATTTGTTGAGATAAATTTGAGAAATTTAGTTTATTAATCAAACTTTATATTTTTTTTAATAAGTTTTAACCCAAAGGTGCTACTTTTTTACAAAGAAGAAATTATAGCTCCTTTATAACTTTGGATAAGTAAAGGGACGTAAGGGGCTTGGTTTAATTATTTTATCTTGGTATAATTAAATTCTTAAATTTTTAATAGATCTTTTTCCAATAAATAGAGGCTTTAGTTTACTATTCTATTTCAACCACAGCCAGGATTCTTTGAAATTCTAAGAGAATCTTTGCTAGATAATAAGGCTTTTCAGTATTACATGTAAGTTTTTACTGTAATATGTTATTAAAAGAATTACAGCTGCTAATTATTGGTATTTTTCTTCTTTCTCTTTACTTTAAGCCCTCAAATACGCGTAATTCCATTAAGATGTTCTTAATTTCGCATTATTTTCTTGGCTGTTTATCATCACCAGCAGACAAGCCTCATATATCATAAGTGAATTATTCATAGCCTTGATCATGGTAGCGTCATCCCTTCTTTGATCATAGGATTTGGGATACAATTTGTTAAAAAGTTATATTCTTTCCGAAGATAAGATTACAATTTTTTTGCAATTTTGGTTAGTAAGAGATATAAGGGGTTGGTTAATGGTATTATACTTTCTATAGCCAAAACTTGTAAAATCATTACAGATTTTCTTTTTTAAGTAATAAAGCATTTCTAGGTTCTTGGTCTTAATTTTATTTTAGAAATTATAACTGCCAATTAATAATTTTCTTCTATTTCATTTAGTTTGAGCCTATTACTTTCTTTTATACACTGCCTTGCATAATTTTATTGAGAAACCTTTGAATTCACGTCTGTTTTCATCTTTTGTTTACTCCAATTTGGCCGATAAGCCTCCTGGATTAAAACTGAAATTTATATTGTAGTGTTACAATTCTTTGATCACAGGCTCTTTATTCAGGTGATTTTTAGTGTAGCTTTTACTCCTAGAGATTATACTTTGATAATGTTTGGATTTTGAAAATTATTTTGATGATGCATGATGACCAACCTTTTTAAATTTCGTTAGATTGATATGTGCTAATCTAATATCTTATCATGATTTAGCTTCCCTGAAGAATATAATATTACAATTGATAACTGTATTTTAATTTATCGCTATAAGATTACTTTGGGCAATGATTGATATGTTAAAAAATTTGTGCTTCCTAGCTTTGGCTGCAATTTTGCATTTGTTTACATTATATTTGAAATAACAGTTCAATTTAAATTGCATATAACGAATATATAACTAAAGTCAATATTGTAATTTTGAAATTTTAAAAAATAAAAATTTTTATTCATTATTTATTTATATAAATAAAAAATTATAAATAAGTATAAATTTTACAAAATTAAATAATGATCTCAAGTGAATATTAAGCTACATTTTACTGCTAAATTAAAATATTATGCCACAATATTAAAAATTTGAATAATAAACTTTATATTCATACTGTATACTAAATTATTGGAATCTAATATTAGGTATTTAAATAACATTATGTATTCAAAACTCATTAAATATATCGATTAATAAAAGTTCTATGCCATTAAGTATCACGATTAAAATAATCTATAATAAGAGACATTAAATAATAATAAATATAAATTTGAACTTATCTTTAATATAATACGTGTTTTATAAATTCTCGTAATAAAAAATGCCACTGTGATCGAGGCTATGAATATTTGGTTATGGCTTGTCAGCTGAATTGTAATAAACAAAGTAAACAATGCAAAATCCAAACATCCAAAGAATGATTACGTGAGGAAAAAAGCTTATAATAAGAAGAAAAGGATTGTAATATTTAATGGCTATAATTTCTTGTAACAAAATAACAAATTGATACTTACAGAAACTATAAAAGCCTTATTCTTTATGATAGAATAATATGCTAAAAGCCCTTCCTTAGAATTAATTTCTCAAATTTAAAAATGTTGGCTATAAAAAAATTTATATGCTCAAATATAACTTTAATTCTTACAAATATTTTGCAAGTATTTTGTACCGAATATCAATAATGCAATAAAGTATCATTATAACACCAAAATGGCAAAATATTGACAAAACACCAAAAAATGGTGAAGCCACTCAAAGACAAAGCCTACCTGCAGAAGCAACACCAAAGACAACAATGATGTGACAATAAACACTAGCAACGAACTCATTCTGGCAGCACCAAAAAAATAGAGGTGTAGACCATACAACTTGAACAATCTACTTAAACATTAATGCAAAGAAAAAATATATGTCTGGCTAATACCTAGAAACAGAAAAAGGCATTAGAAAACATATTTATAAATCACTTTCAAGTAATATCTAAATAAGAATAAGAATGTTAGTTAAATGATCCAAAAACAAAAGTATCAAATAATTGAAACCATACTTATCAGAATTTCAAGAAAACCCAAAGATGCTCTTAACCTAGAAAAAAAAGAGCATTAGTAAACATGTTAAAAGCCAAAACAACCAACTGAAGAAATCATATACCCTGTAATGCACCGAAGAATCAGGAGAAAAAGCCTGAAGACGTTTGAACAACATCTGAAAGAAAAAAAAAAACATTAGTATATTCACAACCCAAAACAAAAAAACCAACAGAAAGAATCACACAATCCTGTAATGCATGTAATAATGAAAGGAAAAGCCCATAGATGCTTGAATACCTAAAGCATTAGTAAACATATTTACAACCCAAAACAACCACTGAAAGAAATCACACGAACCTGTAAGATGTATAAGAACAGAAAGAAAAGCCCAAAGATGCCCTGAACAACATCTGAAAGAAAAATAAAAGAGATTAATAAATGCGTTCACAAGCAAAAAAACTAACAGAAAGAATTATACATCTCTGTAATGTACCAAGAATAAAGAAAAAGACCAAAGACACTTAAAAAAATTAAATTTAAAATTTCAAAGAACCGGAAGATAAAAAAAACTGTCTAGTGAATAACATATCAAAGTTTAGTAATTATTGTTGCAAATCATAATAAAATTAGATTAAAATAAAATGAGAGTTTCTATTTAACCCTCTAAAACCCACTTATACTTGTTTATTATAAACTCTACTCTAAAACTAACCTTTAACTCTAACCTGAAAAAATACACCTGGTTTGTCTATTTTTTTACATTGTGTAATATTTCATTTTGATCTGATTTCAATTTAATCCAATTAAGAAATTCTATACATCCTGTGATATCGTTATCATTATTTGCAGTTGGGATTTTTGATTGTCAGGATTTTTAGCTGTCAGGATTTTTGGCTATCAGGATTTTTGGCTGTCGAGATTTTTGAATGTTGGGATTTTTTTGTCAAGATTATGACCTGTCAGGATTCTGTTTGTCAGGATTTTGACCCATACCTATTAATACTGAGGGTAAAGCATCAAAAGGACCAAATAAAGTTACTTCAATATTGCATCACTTTCTTGTTTCTGTAACAGATAATGCAAAAGAAATTAAACTATGAGCAGACAATTGTGGTGGCCAAAATAAAAATTTGTATCTTTTTTGATATCTTCTTTGGATGTGTGATACTAAAAAATTTCAAAAAATTGATTATCAATTTCAAATCAAAGACCATACAAGAAATTCAGTTAATTGTGGATTTGGCTATACTAAGATATAGTATGCGAAATCTGAAGCTTGGTGTATTATTCATCTCATCAAAGTAATAGATAGAAGTGCAAGTAATAATATTTTTGTAAATTTAGAAGAAAAAACTAACCTTTTTTGTAATTGGACCTCAGCACTTAGTACATTGTACCAAAAGCCTTCTGCAATTCAAAAATATCATCTCTTTCATTTTACTCACAAAAATTTTAGATTAATGAGAGCTAAAATAAGAGTAACAGACCCGTGGGATGAATTCTGGTTGTTAAAAACAAATGTCAATCCAATAAATCTATGTCCTCAAAAGCTTCCATCAAAAGGCCTTTTAGAAGAAAAGCAAGTAGATCTTTGAAACAGAATTCGCACATACTGCCCAACTGAATTTCAAGATATACTTTGTCCTAAACCTTCAGATAAATAAGTAAAGAAGGTTAAAAAATTAAAAGGAGATTGTGCAAAAGAAGCTCAGAAAAAGTATAAACAAGAAAATAAATAAAATATGTATCGATATAACTTTAATTTTCTAAAAATAAAAATTTTTGAAATATAAAAATTGTGTAATGTATTGTCGATTAATTTTTGCAGGGGCTATGTGTATTACACTAAATGATGGCTACTCAAGACAAAGTCACGAGTAGCTTTTTTTGTCACAAAATCTGTTTAACTCTGATTAGTCATTGTTGTATGCAGGGGTATTATGACACCTCACTTGATTGCAAGGGTAAATCAAGTGATGAGCAACAATGCAACTCTGTAGCAATGACGTCATGATTAGTAATAAGAAAGAGGTATTTATAGTTTTGATGATCTTCGTTTTGATATTGTCTTTTCGTTTTGCTGTCACTTAACTCTAGATATCGAGTATTCAAACCTATTTTACAAGAAATTACCCTATTATAGAAAAATCTTTATTAACAACAAGTACTTTTATATAATAATTTATTACTAAGACTCTAATAAAATGAACAAAGAAAATTTAGCTATGATCAACTACGACAAATCGGTGGAAGGCAGCCTAAACTTGCTTATACTCAAAACTCAGGAAGATACAACTTCAACGGATTCAGGTTTTAAGAATAGTCTGGATAGGTTAACTGTAGATACTCTGAGGATGCTTTGTAGTGCCGAAGGTCTACCATGTTCTGGATCCAAAAAGGAACTTGTCGAAAGGTTTGCTTTAAGAATGTCAAACAAGATAAAAGGAAAAGTTAGTAACTTCAGTGAAATGTTACATCCAAACAATGAACATGACATTAAGGTTGAAGAAAGGTTAAAGGGAGAAAGCCGTAAAAAAGATTTTGGCTACTCAGACAAGTTGGATGAAATTTACTATACAGGAGCAAATAAGTCGTTTCAAGAATCATCAAATAACACTCTTAGTGGTAATATGTTGGGCAAGAAGTTACAAAAAAAAGTAAATACTTGTTATTAGAAAAATCTTTGCAAGCCACGGTATTAAAGGCGTTGGAAGAAATGAAACAAAGTCTATATGTAGTAGGAAGTAGAGATGAAGATCGATTTTGGCCAGAAGTAAAAATGAATAGAACAAGGGACCAATTCGAGTATGATGAGTGGTGAAAAATTGGAAAGGAACTAGATGAGGCCCTGTTGTTTAAATCGATAGAACCAATTGTAAGAGCCCGTGAAATAGCTTATACTCGAGCATATATATTACAGGTGGCAAACAAGGAAGAATGAAACATAGCATTAGCATTGAATGAAACAGTTACAGATGACCCAATGGAGGCTGTTCTAAGAGAAAGACTGACTTTAGCAAGACAAACAGCAAAGAACAAAAGAAAAAGAACAGACAATGTATTTTTGGGAAATACATATTCTGGAATACAGTCTCAGTGGGGTACCTATACTCAACTACCACATCCAATTCAAAAGCCTCTATTGGATCAAGGCAATATATACTCTTACAGTACGCAGCATCCTAGACCAAATCTTGCATTTCAACATCAACCTTTAAACCTTACAACTCAACATTTACATAATAATTATCTTCAAGCTGCAAATAATCAACCAGCCTTTCAAGGATGGTCTGCTCTACCAACAATGTAGCATCAACCTTTTTTAAATGAGTTAAAAGAGATGAATAAAAAACCGGGAAGACTTAGCAATATTGTGTGCTATATTTGTGAGAAAAAAAGGCACATTGTCCATACAAGAAAGCAGGATTGTCATTTCAGAAACCAGAATCAAAACAAGATAGTTGACTACACTCGGGAGGGTTATCAGAAAGAAAGAAAAATAGAGTACGAACAAGTGATGGCAGGGAGAATACATTTGAAAAAATCAGTAAATTATTAGAATCAAATTATAAAACTACTGGCATTAGTACAAAGTTGGCTAGAGAAAGGGTACCATTGTTTCCAAAGGGTGTAAAATTATTGTCAATGAAGAAAGTTCCAAGACAGATCTGTTTCTTTATAGAGGAAAAAATATGGTTGGAACAAGAGCTAAACAGGCTATGCAAAACAGATGCAATTCAGCAAATTTTTCAATGAAAGTTAAGACTGGAGTACTTATTAGAAGTGAGCCCAGTTTTTCTAATTCTGAAGAAAAGTTCAAAGAAATTCAGATTAGTAGTGGATTTAAGAAGACTGAACAAAACTCTGCCAGAAAAGTCTTTACGCTTCGAAGAACTAGGGGGATTTCTAAGATCAATTGGAAAGAATTAGTGAATAATTACATTCGATTTACAAGAAGAATACCATCATGTGACTATGAACGAATGGGCCTAGCGATTTTTTGAATTTCATTTTGGAGAAACATGGTACTGTTATACAGTTCTCCCTTTCGGACTCTCACAGACAGTATGGATCTTCACAAAAATTATGCGAGCAATTATAGGATTCTGTGGAAACCATCTCGACGATGTTTGGGTAGCCCATCCAAACAAGGAAACTTTATTAGTACTCACAAATATAGTTATTGCAAAGGACTTGGAGGGATGTGGTCTAATAAGAGCAACAGAAAAAGGACAATGAGAACCTACACAAATAGTAAAGTATTTGGAGTTAGAAATAGATACAATCTTGGCTCAGGTCCAAGTTCCAGAAGAAAAATTACAGTTAGTAAAGAACGAACTAATGTTGTTAAAGGAATTAAATTGGTTAAGTGCACAGAAATTGGCCTCAATCATGGGAAAAATTCAGAGTTTTGCGCGTATCTTTCTCCTAGCACAAGTAAAATGTTTAGAATTTTACAAAATTATAGATGCCCAAAATCGAGCATATTGGAATTGGGATGAACCAATACTTTTGTCAGACCAAGCAAGGAGAACATAACTTGGTTGTGTCAAAATTTAGAAAGATGGAATGGAAAGCCTGCATGGAAACCCTCCTTGATAAAGCCAATTTTCATAGATGCTTCAACGAAGGGATGGTGTGGAACATTTTATCAGAACAAAGCAGCAGGGAGTTGGGCCCAACTAGGATTATCAATAGAAATTGCACAATTAGAAAGTATTGCAATCATAAGAACCTTACAATCATTTGTAAATCTGATAAGATATTCATGGGTAATGTTGTTTGTCGACAACAAAGTAGCTATAAGAACAGCATTACAGGGGGGAAGCCAAATTTGGTAAAAGGAAATAGCACGTTATCTTTGGGAATTTTGTGCAGAAAACGATATTTGGATTTACAAGATTTAATGGGTGCCAAGCACAGAAAACCCTCCAGACTACTTAACCAGAGAAATAGATACCAACGATTGGACACTAAGCAACCATCTGTTTATATGGCTAGAAAATTTGTGGGGGAGATAACAATAGACAGATTTGCAGATCATCTAAACTCAAAGAAGAGATGTTTCAACAGTTATTATTTTTGCCCGAACACAGTAGCAGTAGATACATTTACATAAGATTAGCAAAAGGAGATGAACTATGCATGCCCACCATTAAACTTAATTCAGCGAGTGCTTGTACACAGTTTGGAATGCAAAGCTATATTAGTAATAATTATACCTGTATGGGAAACAGCTCCATGGTGGCCTCTCTTTTTGTTAGCTCCAAAGATTGTAATAAGTCTTCTAGCAGCAACCGAAAGCTTCTTACTTGGCCCTTCAGGACAAGTAGAACCGTACAAGAACCCAAATTGGAAATTTTTAGCAGCCAAAATAGATTGGTCAGAGAGTTCTTAACACATGCAGGAAAAACGCATATAATGCTATAAGCCCAATATATCATCGACGACTTGATAAAGCCTATGAACTCTTTACTCAATTCTGTAAAGAAACAAATACTTTACAGAACCAAATTGATGTGGAAATATTATTAGCATTCATTGGATGGTTAGATATTTCAGGACAAAAGTCACAAGTTCAAAATTGTTTAAGTGCTATGTCTAGAAAGTTTAAACAAACTGGAAATGATGACTTGACTACAGATTTCAGAGTTAAGGAAGTTATTAGAGGTCTTAAGATAGTAAAAGCACAAGATCACGAAGCACCATGGCCTCGTGATCTCTTTCCACTTATCGCATTAAAGAAATACCATGACAATCCACCTGACCAAGCTGGGCCATTATTCTGGCATCGAGACTTGGCCCTTATAGAAATAGGTTTTCGTACTATGAGAAGACCAGGAGAATTATGTGCTTTAAGATTAAGAGATATTGAAAACAAGAATGGCCTCTTATGGTTGAAGATCAAAAGATCAAAGAATGACCCATTCGCAAATGGTAAATTTGTACCTATAGAAAGAATTGACAGTATCTATTGCCCAGTACGCCTTTTAGAAAAATATTTGGAAGTTAGACCGAATACAGATGAAAATAGCCCTTTATTCTTGTCAAACTCTGGAAAAGAAATGTCAGTCACAGCAATTTCATCAATAGTGAAACGCATGACTGAAAATGCAGAAATAGTTGGTCGATTTACTTCGCACAGTCTGAGAATTGGAGGAGCTACAGCAGCAATGAAAGGTGGAATGAGTCTAACACAAATTAAGGCCATAGGTGGATGGGATTCTAAGGCAGTATTGTTATATTTAAGATCAGTAGCCACGACGCAAATTTATGCATCCCGTTTAATGGGATTTTAATCTGTGCATGGTAGCTTGCATTATAATATGTATTTGAAATTAGGGGTTGACTAATTAAGCAGTATATATGTAAATTGCTATAACAATTCATTCTTCGATCCTCTTTATATCCCGTATATGTTTGAGTCGTATTACAGTTTATTAGAACCACTCAAAGGAGTGACAAAATGATGGCTACTCGAGACGAAGTCCGAGTAGCTCTTTTTGTCACGAAATCCGTTTAACTCCGATTAGTCATTATTGTATGCAGGGATATTATGACACCTCACTTGATTGCAAGGGTGAATCAAGTGATGAGTAACAATACAACTCTGTAGCAATGACGTCATGATTAGTAATAAGAAAGGGGTATTTATAGTTTTGACGATCTTTGGTTTGATATTGTCTTTTCGTTTTGCTATCGCTTAACTCTAGAAATCGAGTCCCCCCCTTGAGTTTCAAGTAGCCACAGGGTTGCATCGTTGGTACGCTCCTTTTGTTGGTTGCAGCTTGACCTTACGGGTCAAATGCAAGTTCGTTTTTGAAGCAGCTTGGCTCAGCAGGTCAATTGCAAAAAAAATAAAAAAATAAAAAAAAAAGAGAAAATATAGATAATAGTCTTATGCTTGCTATTGCTACTAATAATTTGAACGTATACAACTTAGGCCTACTCGATTCTAGAAAGAAGCTGTGATGCACGTGACAGCAAGACACTTCCCGTATATGTTTGAGTCGTATTACAGTTTATTAGAACCACTCAAAGGAGTGACAAAAATTAAAAGCCCGTTTAGACAGGCATGATAAACCGATAGATCAAAGTTTCCCTTTTCCCTTGGCAGTACTCATATTGTTGTGGTCTCATGATCTGCATTATGAATTGGAGAAACGACACATGTCAATTCAGAATTGACACGAAACATTTGTATTAACGCGACAATGCGCACGTAAAATTCGCATCAATAATAACGAAACAGCTTTTAGCCGTAGAACTCACATAGGCTTTTAAAGTTAACAAATATCTTAATAAACAGATTAAATATAACTTAGTCTAGATTATACCCATTATTTACTAATATTATTTAAGAACTGGCTAAAGTAAAGTTGCTAGCAACGGTAAGTATTAATAATGATTAATGTTAAAATTGAGTGAGGGAGCATAAATTGAAAACGCGGCTTATTTGATATTTGGAAGATAAATCGTTTCTCAAATTTTTGCTCTTAAGTGACATTGGAAAGGCAACAAACGAAGCGTTTATCACAATTGACAAAATAAATAAAAATAAGTATAACAGCTATGTTAAGTTACAGCATACAAGCAAATTTGCATTGGTGTTTTAGGATGGTGAAGGTGTTTGATCTATTCTCTTGTTAAGTCAGGTAACTCATGGATGAATAGAAATCTCGTATAGTCACTGTTCATACAACCATAACCCCCCTCTCTAATTGTATATGCTATAAAAAAAAAAAACCTCTTATATACATGCAACTCTTTAAGATCTTTTTTTTTAAGCTGTGTGTATATAGGTGAATATTTTGCTAACATTTCGAAGAAATCAATTAGAGCATTTAATAAGTTAATAAAAGCAGAAATAAAAACAAACACATAATTTATATACTTTATATAATTCAAAAATAGGTTTAAAATTCGTTATGAATTTCTATTATACTAATCTGCTTACCGAAATAATCTGGAAATTTTTGTATATTGTATAGCTTGCTAGTATAAATGTCATGTGAATGTATTTGTTTAATTAGTTCTAGCTTAATCTTATCAGCTTCCAAAACTTGTTTTTTAATTTCGTTATCATTTTCCTGATCCATTTCATCTAACCAATGAGTGAGTATTTCAATAATTTCTGTTGCACTAGGTCGATTATCAAGATCTTTATCCATACATTTCATAGCTAATTTAATATAACAATCAGGTCCTAAACACTTAGGTCTTGT